ATTGTATTTTGTTTTTATTAACAAATATTCTATGTCGTGTAACTTTCAATTCTAAATGTATCTAAACATTACTCTTTGCATTCTCTATTGTCTAAGTGCAAATAACAAAAAATATGGATTTGCTTAACATTTGGCTAAACTCTAGAATATTATTTTAATTGTCGTGTGAATTTATAAGTAAAGATATAATTAAATGTCATATCTGTAGGTTTAATATAACTTTCGTGAGAGATAAAGTTAACAACTTAACGATCATGATTTTGTTTGACGAATTGGCATTGTCTATTTGTTCATATATAGGTATGGTCGTACTGTTTAAATAATAGTGTAAACAAGATCACGATAAGTATAACCACGCTTTAGGTGTATTATACAACCCTGTAGATTAAAAAAATAAATATATTTCTCTACATTTATTATATCTTCTCCACCAATCCCTCAAACAACCCTAGGCAAATATATTTATACTGAAACGCTATGATATACTTAGTTATTCGGAAGTAATTTATATGAGATGAAAATTATGATATCATTCAAAACCCAGAAAATCTTTATACACGATTAAGCTATCTTTCAATAATTAGGTACTTGTAATAACTTTCATAAATATTGCTTTAAGTTTTCGTAGTAATCTGTGAGTAAATATATCCTTATTATTTTGTTTCATTTGGAACTGCTAATATTACAACATTTCATTTGCATAGACAATTGTGAATGTTTTAGAGTCCCTTGATAGAATTTGTCAACGGATAAATAATGTAACGACTATAATATACATGCTCTTTAAAACAACAATATCAACAAACAATATATAAATATGTATATTTAGGGACAATCCATTTATGTCACATCACATGTGACATTTTCTTAAGTATAATTTAGCACCAATTATGATATAACATTAACAAATAATAAAATTATTCATTATTGAGATGACAATAAATATAAGTTCAAATACAATTTCATTTGAAATGTATGTTTTCGAGTGTAATATAAAGGTAAAGAAAACAATGATACATATACATGTATTACACAAGTAATGTAGTCCAAGTAAGAGTAACTAGGTACACATAAATGAACGGGTTAAGCTTAGGCACTGGCTAAATTGACTATCATAAATGTAAGTGATTTGTTTACTCGTTCAATAATAGCCTCACCATTATTAAGTCTAAATTTCCTCTTTAAGTACCTATCAATGTTCAAGGTAAATTTCGTATAAAGATTTATGAAAGGTAGGTACAATAAATTCGTTTTTATGAATTTTAGCAGTCTTAATATTGATTATCAAGACCCGACGCCTCGAAAATTACACGAATTTTTTTATTCATTTTGTAAATAACATTCACGAGTTGTTCCGATTTCCAAACAAAATGGAAAACATGAGATGATATATTCTTAATTTTAATTACATCTTTTAATTAACTACTTGGGCCTAAAAGGTTTCTAAATTCCTAAGGAAGCTTCTTAAAGTAGACATTGTAAACTCTGAATAATGAAAATAAATAATACATAACATTTTTGAAATTTCTTAGTCGTCTAGTAGTCGATAAACATTAAACTTATGAATATACAAGTAAAGGCACACTAATAGGCAAGCGTTCCCTGGACCTACGTTTGTATTGGAGAATTTGGTGTTTGGGTCGACGACGTACACGCGTGTGTCGCACTCATACATACGTTCCTATTGAAGTAGACACTACTACCCATACTTACTAAACTCATTTTATACAATTATTATTTAAAACAATTTAATTTTTCTCGTTATTATTGAAATATGAAAACGTGTCGCTATAATTACATGGAAGACTACTTTTGCCTCTAAATTTAACTAAGTAAATAATTTTATAAGTACCGTTCCTTACTTTAAATTTAAGGCATTTTGTTTTCTACTAAAATAGAATTTACAAATCATCTCATGATTCCAGTTACATATAAACTTCATTCAAAGCACCTTGCTAAGATCACTTCAACAACAACGCCTTGTTGTATCTTCTCAATATATACAATTTAAACATCAACCTTTAAAATATATAATATGTTACATTTGTTTTAAAGTTGCTTTAGTTTATAGTAACTCAAATATGAATAAGGTAGATGTGTTTGTGATACGGTTATGCACCGCGACTGCGCCCGTTGTAAGCACGGCCGCATTGTAGTCGCCCCGGACAACAGATGCAGTACGCGATGATAACCTTTATACATTAGCTACAGTATTTCTTGTATTGTCTTTGACAAATAGATATTTCACATGAGTAAATAATTGAATCATTTAACAAAGTAATATAATCCTATTATATTTAATGTTAGGAATTTAAAACTTTTATTAAAATATCTAAATGATTTGGGGCTCTGTTGAATAATCAGGAACTGAACGTTTGATCTGTAGAAGTACTACAATGTTTCGCCCGTGATACTGTAGCGCCAACTATCCTAAACGTTTTATTGTATTTACTATGTGTATACTTTAAGCGATTTAAATAAGTAGATATTTGAATAGTACAATAACATTTACAACCAAATATTTCAACATTGATAAACTATTTTAAATTAATCTTAACAAATTCTAGAAAATAAAATCATAGCCTGTGTTGAGTTTTACTTCGAAGAAGTCAAATCGTCATCTACAACTAAGATCACTATTAAGGCAAGTTAAATGAAAATGCATTTTCCCGCTACTACTTACGCAATGGCCTTTTGTTGTAATCTTTTTGTAAAGAGTTTATTTGGCATTTTCATTAGCCTCTCGAGATACGTCACTGTCTGAGGCAGACAGACGTATCGCCTAGCACAAGACTCTATTTACAAAAAGACCACGCCATTGCTTTAATCATAAATATATTAACTAAACTTAAACTAACTAATTCAGTTCAATGAGAATTGCATTTAATATTCAGCACATAAACAATTATACTACTTTCGAATTTACGATCACCATGAGTAGTTATTTTGTACCCTGAAAATGTTGTAACTAATAAAATTAAGTAACAAGTTAAGTGCAAAATAACAAGTAAATCATAGAAAATTTTATAAATCTCTTTGAAGTTAGCACTCTGAGAAACAAATGGAACAATAAATAAATAGATAAATATTAACAACAAACGACTGGCGTCGCTTAATATCAACAAACTTATTGACATACAGTATGTAAGTATGAAACTTAGAGCTCGAACGCTTACTCAATACGCAATCTACTTTTATAAACTATTGAAAATCCAAATTTTAAGTTAAATAACGTATAACATGAATAAAGTCTACTCTGGCTAATCAGATCTCGATACATCTGCGACAAAGAGTACTACTGAGTGTTGCCGACTGCGGCTGCGCTGCCTAGGACTCCTGCTTGGCCATCTGCTCGTTAGCATTGGGCTGATTTTTATGTATGATCTTGAGATGAGCGATCATGTTGTCTTTTCGAGTGAACTCTTTGAAACAGATGGGACACGGGAAAACTTTAACATCTTTCTTGTGAGAAGTAACGTAGTGCCTACAGAAATTACTTATATGTGTATAGACTCTCGCGCATATCTTACATCTGAACACATTCTCCCCTTCCTTGATGCAGTAATCTCTCACAGACTCGTTTGTCTCCTCGTGGTAGTTACCCACGCTACCCATATTGGCCTTCCTTATAGGAGAGGGAAATATACGATGTTCCCAGTTGGTCTGTGCTAAATCGGATACTTCGTTGTTAGCCAAGTTGAGGTTATTTTGCTCTAACTCAGCGGCAAACAGCTGTGTGGCGAGAGCTGGCATCAGAACCGGGTCCGGTGGGAATTTGTCGAACGTATTCAGTGCGGGATTCAAACTGGATAACCCGGATAGTTGATTGAACAAGTTTCGAGCTCTAATTTTGGACATTTGGGGTAGTAATTTTTTACTATTCTTTGGCTTTAAGTTACGACCTAGTCTGTTTTTATCTTCTGTGTCTTTAATAGGACCGTCTTGGGAATTAGAATTGTCGCGGCTTCTATCAGGATTATATTTATATTCGATTGGTTCATTATAACCGTCGTTTAATTCAGCGGCTGGTTCTTGTTTAATTGATCCGTTTTCTATGGAAAGCACAGGCCCGTTTGTTGGAAAGTTTTGTTGTATTTCTTCTTTTTGCGGTTTATCGGGATCTGAAAAGTTTTTTCAGGTCTCAATGTATGCGGAATGTATAAAATAAAATCATTTATATTCATTTTACTCGACATCGTAATTGGAAATATTTTAGTAAAACAAAATATTGTAATTTTACTCGGAATTACTGATTTAAATACAATTGTTGTGATACGGACCTAATTTTATTTTATTTTGATGAATAGAAAGCTACCAGAATATTTCCAATTGCTTTAGTACCAAGGAAAGCTATTGGGAATAAGCCTTGTTTGTGTTCCCTTTTCTTATTCGTAATATGAAAAAATATATCTTTACTCGAAGAAGTTTTAAAAGAAAGAAATTATCAATCAAACCATTAAGTACCACACCGAGTTTGCCCCTGGCCATTCCTCTAATAGCTCTCCCCAAAAGCAGAAAAGCAAGCAATAGTTAAAATTGTCGATTTATAGAAGAAAATAAGCATCTGTTACTCGTATACGTCAAAAAATTTCATAGATAATCACTTACCCCTTTTCAATAAAGTTTAAATATTATTAAATAATATAAAGTAGGCATTTTGTAATACACTTCACTTTTCACTTATCGTTTCCTATCATCAAAGCTTATATCCCATTAGCTTTTCCCTTTTAAATCAAATGTTACTTTTATAAAATTGTTAGATATTTGGAAAGGAAGATTAAAACAGGTATTTACAAATAGTAAGCGAGTATAAACAACAACATTTTCATTAATTTCTGGCGCGATTTTTTTGTACAGTTCAAAATTCTATACACTAAAACATTCGGTAAAATGTATTTGGTGAATAAAACAATATTTAATTAATTATGAATCCTTCATAGTCAAATTACTTTCTACCGACGTAGCTGAAATGTAACAGTGTTGTAGAGATTGCCACATACCTGCAGACTCGGAGTCCTTGCCAGTGGGTGCCTCTGTCGATTGCGCGTCGTCACCTTCGTCAATGAGTAGGGCTTCACCTGCTTCCTCGCCCCCTGACGTTGCCCCGTCATCAGCGTTAAAGCTATCCATTGACATTTTCACTTCCAACATCTCTGGAGAACCTCTGATCAGTTGGTCGCCTGGACGGTTCGATGATCCGTGAGAGGCAGGCTCCGAGACAAACTCTCCGGGAGGACTAGCGGCAGTGTTTAAAGCATCGCTGGAACTTCCACTGAGTTTTCTAGGCCGACCTCGTTTTCGTTTAGGCTGCATCAACGCATTACCCAATAAAGGCATTAATAAATTGGGAGGTGCTCCTCCGCTTGGCACACCCGATGCTGGCCTTTTCTGATGCATATATGGATGTATTCTGTGTAGTTGAGGAGGAGGAGTGTGCGCATTCGACTGTTGCTGTATTAACGAGTTAGTCAAAGCTGGAATATCGCACTTCTCCTCGTTTACTTCTGTAAGTCCTTTTATTCTTAAGCTCTCGGCTACTTTTAAGAAAGCCGTCAGTCGCTCCTGGTCCACACTTACTTCACCCCTGTACATGAAATCGAGTAAACTCTTCATGTCCGAATACGGAACGTCCTTCAATATAACAATGGGATGTTTCTCCTGGTGGTTTACGAAGAGAGCTTGGAAGTAAGGACTGCAAGCCGACAGGACCATCTTGTGTGCTTTCAGTAGCTGACCATCAACGGCTAGGGTAACGTCGGTGAACGTCTCAGCGTGCAGTAGCTGATCAAACACAGACAACATATTAGACTGGTGGTTGTTCCACCGCAAACAAAACCTCTGCGTAGCCATTTTTGCTTTTGTATATATTCTTCTTTGGAAGATATGATTTCTGCCAGTCGAGGCTTAAAATATAATTTTACCAACAACTATTCAATCATGTATACATAAGTATTCTCTCTTGTTCCATGAACAATACAACAAAACGTCAACAATAGATAATGTTTACTTTTTAAAAGCCATTTTCAATTTGTATGTTTCATAGTGTTTAGTGCAGTTTTGTGTCGGGCGCAGGGAACCTGTAACAGGAGAACATGCATTTTTTGTAATGTTGTTGTACAACGATGTACACTCTTATAGATAGCAATAGCATACACTACATTGTGTTTGTGTGGTCATAAATTACACTTTAAGTAAAACAGAAAGTCGAGGATCGTTTTGATTTCTCTCCTTTCGTGTCTGTTAGAAGTAATTAGGTACATTGCTTATGTGATTACTGATTACAGTACTTGTGCACACTTGTGCTTGCTTCTGTCACGCTATTATCCTCGTAGGCTATTCACGCAATATGTACCGTGGTACTTATCCAGCTACTTAGCTACAGTTTATTCTAACCTAAAACGCAGCTGTATGCAACGGATTTCATAATAAATATTATTATATCGTATTTATATTTCTATAGAAAGCACAAACAGTTTATTTATGTTATAAAGAATTCATTTGTTTTTTATTCTGTAACTATTACAAATATTTGTAAATACCAATGGCAAATACGTGGAAGAGATAATGTGACGTTTATAGAAACATATGAGAACCCCCTCGTGTGTTAAGTTTTTTATTGGACATATTAATTGTTGAAAAATACAAATTTAATATCATTCGTTCAAATATTAAGTAAACAAGTACGCGAATGTGTTTCTATTGTGTCTTTCACTTCCTGTGATTGGTAAAACGTAACACGTTGGATCAAATAAACGCTTTTTTTATTTAATCAGTTATATACTTTCAGATTTTCTTATAAAAATAATAATTAATAGAATTAAAATGATATAGGTAAGTAAAAAGTTATTTTACACGATAATTGACGACCAATTAGAAAAAAGAGATAAAATATTGTAATTAAATTACATTTCGTTATCATGGGGACACCAGATACCACATTCATTAATTTTTGCTAGGTTGTGAACGACACCAATAGCTACACAATTCAATCAAGGTTAAAAAAATCGAGGGCGTCTATAGTCTAGCGGCGTGGGGAGCCTGTGCATCGCGTCGGCGAGCGCACTGCAGTAGGAAACTAAATTGTAAGCTAACGTTCATTGCAGCCATGCTACACACCAAATATTGAATCATGATGCTAATATATCAGTGGTATGCACAACGTAAATCATTGAAAATATCTAGACCTGCATTCATTCCAATTAGATTCCAATTGGAACGGTCTCGAATTTATTTTAGAACTACAAAAACACGAACATTTGCTCCACATCCACAGGTGCTGACCACAAACGTTATCGCGGTATAAACGAGCGCTCGAATTATTACTACGCACCCAGTCGAGCGCGTTACATTACGTCATCACAATGGCATTATTACCTCCGATATCCACATTAATTCAACCGATACGTCGAGATAAGCACCGTTTGAGAATAATTATATCACTGCACTAACATAAGGGAACGTACCACACGTATCTGCACCACAATCAACTCGACCCTTTTATGGGAATGAGGACCAGCCCTTCCGCCATAGTCCGAGTCCGCGTTTACGTCGCACCCCGCTCACCCGACGACTGACGGCCGCAGCCCGCAACCCCGCGCGACGTACACCGACTCGCTCCGCGACTCGAATATCTCTCACAAAAAATACGCCGTCATCATCGAAATGGCGGCAGCGGATATATTCAGCGCAGGGTGCACGGTAAAATATTGATTTATTGAAATTTATTGATTTGCTCTCGGGAGGAACATCATCCCCATCAGGATATGTAGTTACTTCGCAGTTTACTGTATCTACTTATGAGTTTTCAGATACATGTGGTTATATTATTCTTTAAATGATTTAAAAATTATTTTAGATCCTCTATATCCGGTATGAAAACGGGGACGATGCCGGTAGGTACCCCGGCTAAGTGAAACAATAACACAGACTAGTTTTTCTGTCTATTATTCATTTTACTTAGATTAATTTAAATCAATTCCTTCCTTTTTAGAAACAAATGTTTGCTATCCTAATACGAGGCGGATATATAAATAAAACAAATAAGTGGGTGTAGATTCCTACACTTCAAATTATATGTACATGTTTAAAGAAGACATAGGTACATACATAACCATTAATCCTAAACTTAATCGATTTTAGCTTGCATTTAAAAAATAGGGTTGATTTTAACACATAAAATACGTTATGAATTAGGTACTGTAGATTTAAATAAATGGTATTTGTATTATGAACCCACCTTTGTATGGATACATTCAAGGGATGAGTTTTCCACGTGAAAAACATCAATCCATTCGTGTTGTCGCCATGTCAGCAGTGTTCTCTGTCTCTGTCCCACACACGAGCGGGGTTGGATGGACGCCCTCTACGCGGCGAGCGCCGCCGATGATGGCCGAATGCCGCCACTTTTCGCAACCGAACCAACCCGAGTCCGCACGGAAAATAGATCGCAGGGCGCACTTATATTTTTTAAGTTTCAAATTCACTTGAACAAACACTAATTTTTTTCAAATTATTTTCTGAAGGTTCGAAATTATAAAACTGTTTATTTTATAGAGCAATCTACCACTTGATGTATTTTTGTAGTTTTTAAAGATAAAAGGAAGAATTTCAGGACATGAAAAAAAAAATCCGCGCGCGATGTTACTCGGAAGTGTTTTTAATAAAAATGGCCTGCCGCCTCGGCGGGAGGAGTGGCAATGGGCAATGAGGTCGGTACCCTCTCTCTGGCACCCGCGCGCGCCCCTCCCTACCGCTACACTCCGGCACAGGGTTAGAAAGTTTCAAAAGTGAATCGTGGAAAACACGAACACTGATTCCTGACTGCAATATCCACTTGAAGCAAGCGAAGGATTTTAAGGACGAAGAAACCAAAAATCACTTTTATCATTATCCTTGTTTAAATCAATGTTGATTAACTTGCACTAATTGTACCTACCATTTGTATTAAGGGAAAACATAATTAAATAACATTTAAGCTATAAATGACTCGGTACATATTTGTGGTGGGTATGTTCCATAGTTCGGGCATTTATCGTTATCTATTAATGACACCCCCCTCGCGTTGACAGATCCGACAATATCCACGTATAGTGGGTGTATTGTACACATTTATATGTAGGTGTGTCAACAAAGTCGATCTGTATCATTCAAATTGTCATACATAAGTATCCTATTTCAAGCTTAAGTACCATATGACCTAAATCGCGATAGCCTAAAAGCAATGCGTTCTGTATCCTACGTCACATAACTCTGAACTGAACGTTTGGATTCTATGATTTTTGGCGCGAACCCAGAAACTTTGTATAAAAATACCATAGCCAATGATTTCCTTTGCACCCTTACCAGTGCTAATTTTTTTAAAGTCAAAATATTTCTCAACTAAAATATTGATTTACCTAGTTGCGTTATTTTTTGGATTAATATGACTTAAATTCAAATCAGGACAATTAAACAATAAAAGTTACATTTGTAAAATGAATGTAATATTGAAACCTTTATGCTGTTCACAGTGTTGTTCTCACTGAGGCGCGAGGCGAGGTTTACAGAGGCTCACGTTCAGCAATGGATGTTTTGAACTGATATAATTACGCTGACATTTGTGATTCATGATCATGTCTTAACAATGTCGTTCATTTAAGCAGTATCTTGTTTTTTCAAATAAAACACAAAATGATGGTTAAAAATGAATTCTGTTAATTTTTCGATCATAGAAAACAATTGAACTCTATAATAGAGCCTATAATATCATACCACTGATACCACATATATGAATCTAGGTACATACTGTAATATTAAATACAGATCGCGTAAGTAGACAAAACAGAAATAAAATTAAAAATATGAAAGTCGAATAAACGATAAATTAGTTCGCGGTCATAACAAACGTTCGCATCGGAGTATCATAATTGTTTACACATCTTTAGTCGGTTCAACATAATACTTCCGACATACACAACGAGTGCTGCATTTTGATTCGCACAAAACATTATTATGACAGAATTAGCACACCTGCCGCTGTAAACTTGGTCGTATCGATTGGACGGAGCGAGAGCTATAATTCAGCAGTGACCTGACCTAGGTCATCGTGCCCGTGTTAGCTGAAGTCCTTACAGCCAGCTGACCCAGTTTTCAGGCGGCCCGGCTGATGCATAAAAGCTTGCCAACACACTTTCCCTCTAATAACAAACACGCCCTGGAATAAAGGTTCGTTTTGCCACCCAAATAGCTTCAGTGAATAAAAAATCCGCGTTATGTTTTCACACGCATACCTATTATGCAAATTAAAAGATGATTATAACATTTATTGTACCTACAACCGTTAAATGCTTCATTCTTTTAAAAATTTTATTACCTGAACTTATTATGTTATTCAGAAATTACTTATTATTTTTCTAGAAATTCATATGCATCCGATCATATGAATTGTTGAGATTCTCTTTAGGGACTTACGGAATGTTTTTTTTTCTATACTTAGATATGCTACATTACGTATAATGGAGTGTTTACCCCCATAGCTTTTACTAAATGTCCCTACAACATTCTGTACGTACACACCACCGGTAAAGGCGCTGCTAAAGCATATTACATGTGTATGACTATATGTTCTAAATAAAAGTAATGGTCTCTTTTCTCAACTTTGGATCTTCGAGTGTCCAATGAATAAGCAGATTTTACTGTAACGGCTCGCGAAGAACGGTCGACGTTAACTGTTTAAACTACGAGAGTGGTAAAAGCTACGAACAAAAAGAAATCCTTCGGCTTTCTAACAGAGACGTGTGTGCATATTGTCGACAGCCTCATTTACTATGGGTTGGGATATCGTCTTTCATGAGCTATTCAAATGCATAGAA